CCATTCCCCGTTTTTTGTCTGTTTGTTTTGCCAGAAGTATTCCACAATGAGCACATGTTGTATGTGAGGTGCAAATATTGCAGAAATCTTCCTCATCAAGGCCCGATTAAGACAATCAAGGGATCTAGTCTCAGGGTCTTTTCAGCACTGATGTTCCTTGTTTCCGTAACAGAAAGCCCCCGTCAGCGCTGATGTTCCTTGTTTTCGTAGCAGAAAAGCAAGGCCTTACACCTGAGCATAGGTAAATTAGGTCTGCCTTCACTTAAAATTAATTAATTTTCTTTAGTATCGTGTAATTTGTAATTACCCAGGTGTCAGTTAAAATTCTTTATCCAGAAACATCACGTTTATGATAATATTGATATTAGGCATTTTTGATAAAGAATGCATCCGTCATATCCGTTTTGTTATCTTTATATCTCTTTTGTCATTTACAAATACTCGATCTTCACCATTTATTACTTTTATTTTACTTCTAACATTTCAGTAGCATCATTTCCAATTTGTACAAAAAAAGGGGGGAGGGAGAAAAGAAAGGAAAAAGAAAGATAAAGAAAAATCAACTGCTATTTTTTCATAATGAACAAACTTTCCCAGTAAGTAAATCGTCGTAACCTTTATACAGGGACTTCATTCTAAAATATTCTGTTTTGCAATTTTGGATTATTGGGCAATTCGGATAACTGAAGGTCGGATAATTGGCAACGTATTGTATTTGTGAAAATTTTAAGCGAAGTATTAATTGTGTTCATTGTTGAAATGTAACTTTAAAGAAAATTCCTGGTAGCACAATCAGGAAAAAAAATCTCAATTTCGTTTTTTTAAATATAATATGCTATTTAAGAAAAACATAAAAAGTTGTATATTTGGCTCTTTAAAAACATAAGCAAGGTTTGTAGTTTTCTTTTGCTACAAAAGATATAAAATAAAATTTCAAGACTGAAAAAGAGAATAGCATACTTATTCCGAAGAATATCCATATTTCGGTGCTTTCAAGCTTTCAAAGGAAACAGGTGAGGGGGCCGATATATAACCCGAAGCAAGCGAGTTGGAAGGTGATCCCCGGGAAGAAGTTCTAGGACTAGATGCAGGTGTAATAAAATCTGTAAAACGTTTAAGATAATCAAAACAAAAACAAATGTTGATCGAATAAGAAATAAAATTTTTGCTATATCAAAAATGCAATAGTCTTAATGAGAAATATATTCACAAAAGTGTTATGAGCCTGACCATATGTAGAGACATTAGATTATTTCGAAGGAGGAGACTTGAAAAATGAGCTATCCTTCGCTGGGACTCAAACCTCTCGAATACCCGCCAGTGTGCTGACCATTACATGACAAAGGCATGTTAAGAAGGCGGGAGAAATACCTTATACATAAAGAGGGTTAAAACTAACCCTCTCTTTTTTTTTAAACTTTGTTAAGATCACTTTCTAAGTCTCTTTACAAATGAAATAATCAAACCATATCAGAAACCGAATTTTCAATGTTTTTTGGGATTTGTGAAGGTAGGCGACTGATTCTGAAATAATCTGAGGTATAGTAAGAACTTAGCTTAAAATTGTTTTTCAGGAGTTACACTGAAATCTACTATGTGGTCAGGCTAAAAACTGTGCAACAATTTATTTCACAGTCTAGTGTTGATAAATTAGCGAACAGTAAAGTCAAAAGTAATTTAGAATTAGACAGATAATAATTGCCATAAACGTAAACTCACACTGTCTTCTTACGCGGATGATCTGTTGCATCTTACTTCTTCTGTGTGAAATTTACTTTGATTACTCTAACTTTTTCTTCGTAGTGCATGCTCTTATTTACAGTTTGTTAACATTTGCAGCTGAACTTGCTAAAATAGTTTGCTGACGGATACAGAGGAAGATGAAATATTTCTTTTTGTTCATTCATGAATAAATTATTAAAAAAATCTGAAATGTTTCAGATTTTAAATTACGTCCAAAGGGGAGTTTTTTAACATTTTGTGTGTTACATTTATTTATTAAATATCATATTCTTTGCACTTAAACCATAAAATTAATTTCAATAGCAATATCGCAAAATAGTTTTAAAATGAGCATATCTTTAGAATTCTCGATACAGAGACTCATGCGCTGGAGATAAAAATGTTTTCTCTGTACAACTTTGCCATTGCTCGCTTTGAAATCCTTGAGTTCGTTAATCAAAAATTCGCATAAATGTTTTATGAAATATAGAAACATCGATAATAAAACAAATTCCAACTTTGGCTTTCCATATGCTCATATTTGGTCTGGAGACGTATGCCCATATTCAAATTTTGATGGCTCTAGGTTGGTACCTAGAGCAAAGAGCTTCTCGCATTGAACAATGCGAGAAACATACACACATTTCTGCAGATTTTTCATTATTTAATTCTGTAAATATAACACAGGGCGATAATACTTTGTCAGGAACAAGTTTGAAAAGTGATTCGCCGTTTGTAGTGAATTGACGCAAAATCGCAAAACGAAAACACTAGTGCTTCAGGGACAAAGCCCATCTGGACTAATAATAAGAAATTATTTTTGATAAAATAAGTTTAAGAATAAGTATTTATATAAATATATTTGTCAAAATATATGATAAAATTAGTAAATTAAACATTTAATATGTGAGTCAAAAAACTTACTTAAAATATCTAGCAAAACATCATCTTCCTTCAACTGCTGTTTATAATGCAGAGTTTTAAATTCCTAAAGGAAACAAATACGTATTTAAAAATATTTTAGATAAAAATTTTGGAATATAGCTTCACTTATACATGTTTTGTGTGCGTAGATATATAAAGTAATGAGAAGGGTTATAGAAAAATAAAACTGAAGGTACGATTTTACAGATGCTAATGTGAAGAGGAATATTTATTCAAGTCAAAAGGAATTACTTTTTTCAGGGAATTTCCACATTCTATCTTCGTGCTGATTAAAAGTGGACTTCTTGTAATAGGAGCTTTATCTATGAAACCTGAAAATGCATGAAGATTTAAGAAAATGTGTTTACATATTTTAAAAAAATTTCAAGTAGAATAATTCAAAATACGAGTACAACATGAAATAGGCGTACGCACAGATGTACATCCGAAGTGCGAGTACTCACATATAATACTAAGGAAATACAGAATGCTGACGATGTGCATTAGGTAAATTTTGCTAATAACATGGAGAATTAAACATAAAATTAATCGCCAAGGAGAACGACATACTTGAAGAAGGTTTACGAGTGTAATTTCAGAATTTTATAGAACTATCGTTCCTCTCCCTCCTATATAATTTGATTTTATCTAAACTATTGCATTCTAACAAGAAAAATCTGTATCTTTTCTTTAAATTTAAAGCAAAGGATACAAGAGCTCATATTTTATAAGCGCAGAAGCAACGATTTTGTGAATAAAATTGAAGGTAATTAGAGAACACTTTTGATCTTTTTACGAGAAAAACGTAATAAAATTTCCATAATAAATTTATCCATTTTTCAACGAACTTCCAATTTCAGTAATTATGTGCATTCAATAACAAGTTTATGACTTGGAAAGGATATAATTCAGTAGCTATCTCTCATCCACTTGAGTGCTGTACTCTTTGCTCTCTGTACTCTTTGGTGAAATATTTATATCTCAGAAGGCCTCAAAGAAAATTATACTTTCAATTTATATTTTCCACTTTTTGTAATATAATTTCATAAAAAAGAAATGTGCAGCATTTATTTTTCTAACAACTTACGATATACTGGTGTCTGTAGTTGCTTACTAACCCATTATTCTTGTCAGACGTTTCTCTGTTAATTAAAAGCAAATAAAAATTAAGGTTAGTTACGTCATTTTTCTTCGAAATCTAAGACAGTTTCTCTAAGCAATAAAATTAGCGTTCCATAAACTTTCTTTGTGGAAGATATAATAATTTCTGCTCACCCTGTCATTAACTATGGCAGGAACCCGTAGAGGATTATTAGACGTTAAATAATATTCGTAAAAAGAGTTGATGAAATAATTATAAAAACTCTTTGCATTACAGAAAAAATCACCAAAAAAAATGGTAAAATCTAAAATCTTTTCATTACGATCACAGAATTTTGATTAGTTCAGTAATGACTTTAGTGTCCATTTTAAAGGCCTGCCGGGTTACTTATTCCCTTTAGTCAGCAAGCATCTCCTTCTTTCTTCCTTTACTTTTCTGAAGGAACCTTTGCCATTTTTTTTCCCCGATGTCGGAGTAGCCTGCACCTGCATTTTTTCCTGTGAGTTTTCTTCGATATGATTTTAAATTTTCCTTTTGAAATCGAGAATTTCTCTAGATCTCTTTTTGACTATATAACTGATGACTCTGTCATCTCATGCGAACGCAATTCGTAATCTTGCGAACACCTACGTTAGTAGTAAGCGGAGGTAACCGTGCGGTCAAAGGATGCCGCCATGACGTAATATAACAATAGATGACGTAAGAGAACAATAGATGCCGCAATGCGGGCGTTCCTTTGATGTGCCGCCTCCGCCATCTTGGATCACGTGACAACCGGAAGTGACGTCACAGAAAATCGTGGCCTCCGCCATCTTGGATTTCTCCGGAAGTGACGACACCAGCGCCATCTTGTACCACGTCATGGAATGACATCATCAAAGTTTCGTTTTTATTCTTTGTGATATACGTTTTAATTTATTATTTTAAGTGTTTAATCATTTTTATTCATTATTTTTAATTATGTTTCGTTATTTAATTGTGAATCATCCTTTTTAATTATTTAATCCGTCATTATTTTTAATTAGTTTTAATTGATTACATTATATTTTTAATACTTTTTAATGAATTTAATATTATTTTCCCTGAATTTTAAAAGTAACTCCACGGCTGAGATTCGAACTCGCTATCTCTGGGATGGGAGTCTAGCGCTTTACCGCTCAGCTAAGCCCTTCATGTTATCAAACCTGTTATTTTTCCGTTTGGAGTGAAAATCACCATGACGTCAATAGGCTGGGGGGGAAACAGGCAAACGTCATCTCTTTCACGTTGCAGCCTGTCGAAACCGCTTCACGCTTTCTACATCCGCCGTGGCGAACGTATACAATCTTAACAACCAATCAGATTCTCACTAATATTTTCTATCTTATTTCAGCCAATCAGCGTGTTTGTTTCTTATACATCGCCTATAAATTCGCTCGCTTTCACGATTTCATCATTTCTACTCTGATTCTTGCTGAGTGAACGTCATTTTGACTCTGTCATTTTCCTGCGCCATTTCGTTTTCTTGTACACGATGTCTGCTAAACGAACTTATTCTGCATCTAATGTAAGTATTTTTTCGCTTGTACTTAATGTCTAGATTACTATTTTAAACGAATTTATCTCTTATTTTTACGAATTTTATTTCTTTTTGAATGTTTTATTTATTTAAATTTTTAATTGTTAGGTCCTGTTTGAAGATCCTGACTTTCCTTTTCGGGACTCAGATGACGATGTAAGTTTTTACACGTATTTTTAACGCACTTTTTTATTTAACGTATTTTATTACTATTTGAATGTATTTTAAACGTATTTTATTTTATTTTGATAGTTAATCGATGAAGTGGATCAGATTTTTTCTGGAAAATCCTATGGATCTACCCTTGTATTATCAAGTGGGTTCCGGATTTGAGGTAAATATTTAAGTATATCTTTATTTAAGTATTTCAGCATTTTTAGATTCTGCTAGAATACTTTTTTCTTAGTACTAAAATTAATGTATTTATTTTTAGACTTCTTCCTCATCAGCTCATGGCCCTGTGTATATGGCTGGCTTCCGAATGAACGATCGGTATATATTTTTCTTTTCTTGCATGATTTATTAAAATAATGTATTTTGAAAATGTTTGATTATTACTGAAACTTATTTATTTTTTTTCCAGATTGATGAGGCGATTGTACTCACAGAGAAGTCTCGTCGACGGAACCATAAATATCAGGCCGAGGAGATTACCTTCCGGGCCAGTATAGATATGGAACGGCTGCCTCAGAACGTGCAAGGCATCCCGATGGTCCGAATTCCTGACACCGTCCGGGAGTTGTTTGAGCAACTTATTCGCCGGACAACAGCAAATCTGGGCCCATCAGACCTCATCCGATTCTGTATCCAAGCAGATGGGTTGGATAAGCCGATTAGCACGTCCCTGATGGCAGTTTCGACTTTAACAGTTGAAAAGATTCTGGCTGCCGTGATGAAAGTGTTGCAGTCTAAAGACAAAATTGAACTGGATACGGGATTTGCAGTTGATGTGATCACCATAAAACGCCCTGTGGGTGCCGGACGAAATAGGAAAGTAGTCAACATCTCCATGGACAGATTAAGGAAACAGTCCATTCTGTCTATTCCATACGACGAGGAAGGACTGTGCTGTGCCAAAGCTATTGTTTATGCCTTGGCGCATTTGAACAAGGACACGAGGGCCATTAATGCATTGAGAGATCGGCGTAATCCAACTCTGATGAACCGCGCAAGGGAACTTCATTTGGATGCGAATGTATCTTTAGGCCCTTGCACTTTTGTAGAAATTGCCATATTTGAAGAGCACTTGGACACACAAATTGCAGTGTTCTCTTCGGAAAATTTGAATAGGGTAAGTCAATTTTTGTCTCAAGATATTTCTGCTTGTAAATATTAGCTTTGAAATTACCTGAATTTTTTCTACATATTTATTTATTTTAAAATCGTAATTTGATTTTAGTTCCATTTTGTTTATTTGTCAAATTGTGAATGAAAAAAATTTATTTTGGTATGATTTTTAAAATTAATCTTAAACAGTTTTTGTATTAAAGTTTATGTATTTATTGGTGATACTTTCATTTTGTTTATGCGTTGAAAAATATAGCTTGACAAAACTGAATGCAGGCTGAAAATTTATTTTACTTTAAATTTTAAGATTAATATTTGTTCATGCATATTGTTTTTCCATGTTAAAAATATAACGGCTAAAAATTGATTTCTAAATTGTTCGATTTTTGAATTATTTTTAAAGTTTCTGCATGATGACTTTTTCATTTCCACCTTAAAAATATAACTTGTAAAAATGTTTTATTTTTGATAAAAATTTTAAACTTATTTTATGCAATTCATTTACATGTTAAAAAATATATCTCGTAAAATAATTTTATATTTATTAAATTTGTATTTTATGCATGCAATTCGTTTCCATGTATAACTTGTAAATTTACATGCATGGTGAATTTTTATTTTTAGATTACTTTTCAAATTATTTTTTATTTTATGCATGCAATTTATTTAGACGTTAAAAATATAACTTGGAAAAAGGTTTTATTTTTGACAAAATTTTAAACTTACTTTCTGCAGTTCGTTTAGATGTTAAAAATATAACTTGTAAAAATTTTTTATTTTCGGTTAAATTTGTATTTTATGCATGCAATTCATTTCCATGTATAATTAACTTGGAAAAATTAAATGTGCAGGTAATTTTTAGATGTTAAAAATGGATTTATAAATAGTTCAAGATTACTTTTAAGAGAAAATGTTTGTCTATGTTTTAGGTGGTCTATAAAGGAAAGAGAGGCCTCAAGCGGATCAATTTGTGGCTTCCACGATGGACATTACGATGTAATCAAATCCCTCAAAGGACTTTTCGGCAGTGATCACTATTGCACGACCTGCGAAAAGGCCTACCAAATGCCTGAAAGCCATAGATGTGCTAATGCCTGTTCCATATGTCTGAGGACCGACTGCTTTCCAGACCAGCCCCAACGATGCCAGGATTGTGACCGTCTCTGCCGATCCGATGCCTGCTTATGCAGCACACAAAGCCCTCACTGGAAACCAAGAAGTTTTCACTTTGCGATAGGGTAAGTGTTTTTTGAAAATATATCTTAATGAACAAAGTTATTTATCATGTAATTTTCTCAAAATGTTATGTTTAAAAAAATTATTGTCGTTACAGGTATACCAGTGCAGGGAATGCTGCCAAGTGATTCGGAGACGCGATTGCCCTAAAGAGCTTCATGGATGTGGAACCACCAAATGCCCTTCTTGCAACCAGTTTGTCGTGGCTGCTGAGCACCGTTGCTATTTGCGACGTGTTGCCCCGAAGAAGTCCGATGACAAGCTCCTCTTCTTTGATTTTGAAACGGATCAGTCTTCGGGGGAGCATCTCGTAAATTTCGCGGTGGCTCAGTATGCTGACGGCACAGAAAAAGTGTTTCCGGGATACGCGGCATGCCAAGATTTCTGCGCCTGGCTGTTCTCACACAGCCACACACAAGGGCTTCACCGCCGTGGCACACAACATGAAAGGGTAAGTTAAAAATACCATAGTTTGCATGCTTTTTAAGTACGACTATTTTTCAATATTATTCATGATATTTTTTTTTACTTACAGGTTCGACGGACAGTTCGTGATGGCCTGGCTCCTGGAGCAAGGCACAGCGCCGGAGGTGATCCCTAACGGGTCTATGATCATGAGTGTAAGACACCCCAGTCTGAACATTCGGGTCATAGACTCGTTAAACTTTTCTACCGATGGCGTTGGCCAAACTACCGGGATGCTTCGGTCTCAGCGAGTTAAAGAAAGGATACTTCCCTCATCTCTTTAACTCGAGGGAAAACCAGAGTTATGTCGGACCGCTGCCTGACCCCCGGTACTACAGCCCGGATACCATGAGCACTTCAGCCCGACAAGCATTTCTGTCCTGGCATGAGAAACACAAGGGGGATGTGTTTAACTTTCAAGATGAGATGCTGGCCTATTGCAGGTATTTTTTTTTCCTTTTTTTTCTTGCTTTAATTTTATATTTTATGTTTCGTATATTTAACATTTTCTTTTTATATTCATAGATCGGACGTGGATATTCTTCTTCGCCGCTGTTGCCTGGAGTTTCGAGCCCAGTTTTTGGATGTGGCGGGTGTGGATCCATTCCAGTAAGTTATTTTCTCATTCTTTTCTAATCATGTTTACAATTATGTTATGTTTAGTGTCTCATAATCCTTTTAATTTCTTTTCAGATACGTGACCATTGCGTCAGCCTGTATGGCAACGTATCGGAGTGGGCACATTCAAGCCCGACACGATTGCCATGGTGCCCACACACGGCTACATCAACTCAACGAATTACAGCCCTGATTCGATCCGGTGGTTGGACTTTGTTGCTGCTTCGGAAGGCATTGCCATTCAACATGCGTTGAACGGTTCCGGAGAGCACAGAATCGCCGGAATCTCGGTAGACGGTTTCTGCAAAGAAACACAAACTGTCTGTTAATTTCAGGTATGAAAAAGTAAATTATATTTCTATATGATTCTTTTTAATGATTTTACACTTTTAATGTTTAATTTACATGTGGAACACTATTAATATATTTGTATTATTTTAGGGCTGTTTCTTTCCACGGGTGTAGTTCGTGTTATACGACGGTGATGTCATTCATCCACTAAAAGGGGTTTCCATGGCAACGTTGCGAGAGAAAACAGAAGAGACCACAACGAAAGCTTCGCACCCAGGGTTTCCACGTCATCGAAATGTGGGAGCATGAAGTTTCAAGAGAGAAAAGGAGGAAAATCCAGATCTCCAAGCTTTCCTGGATCAACACCATCTGAGGGACCGACTCAATCCTCGAGAGTCATTTTTTGGAGGAAGGACCAATGCCCTCAAATTGTTCCACGAGGGAGACGCAAAATATGTGGATTTTACATCACTCTATCCATGGGTTCGTACTTTTTTTTATTATTTTAAAACTTTTCATGGATGATGTTTTTTTTTCTGATTTTTATGTATGTTTTTTCTGACTTTTTTGTTTTATTTCACAGGTGAACAAGTATTGCGTCTACCCTGTGGGACATCCAACAATCATCACGGAAAGCTTTAGAGATGTGGAAGATTATTTTGGAATTATCCAATGCCGAGTGATTCCTCCACGGAATCTGTATCTTCCGGTACTGCCCTATCGGTGCCGGAAGAAGCTGATGTTCCCCCTGTGTCGGACTTGCGCCCTTCTTCAACTGCAGACTCCGTGTACCCACACAGACGACGAGCGAGCTCTTGTCGGAACGTGGGTAACGGAGGAAGTCAAACTGGCGAAAAAGAAAGGTTACCGCGTCACACATGTAAGTACTCAAAGATTATTTTAATCTTTATTTAGTTTCAGAGGTTACTTTTAAAATCTTTTTTATAACTGACATTTATTTTTATTTTCTAGATTTACGAAGTGTACCATTTCCAGGCATCGTCTACTTCTCTGTTTCAGATCATACATTGATCTGTTTCTGAAGATCAAGCAGGAAAGTAGCGGATGGCCTTCGGAGTGTGTGACGGAAGAAGCCAGACTGAAGTACATTCGCCAATATGAAGAAAGAGAGGGTGTCAAGTTAGACGCAGGAAAGATTTCCAAGAACCCTGGGCGTCGCCAAGTCGCCAAGTTGGCCCTGAATAGCTTTTGGGGCAGGTAAGATGATTTCTTTTGGACTTAAATTTTTTTGTAAACATTTTTAATTCTTTGTGATTTATGTTGGATTTTTTTTCAGATGGGGTATGAACGTCAACAAAGCCCAACTGACCTATGTCCACACGGTGCCAGACTTTAATAAGATGTTGGCGGATCCTACTAAAAAAGTAAGTTTTCCTTACCGATTTTATTCCATCTGTAAACTCAAGTGTGTTTCAAACTGTTAACTCATAACTATTTTGAACTGTTAACTCATGACTCTTCTATTTTCAGATCAAAGATGTCTTTCTGCCCACGCCTGAGGTGGCTGCCATTTCCTGGGAGTCTGCGAAAGAGTTTGTGCCGCAGGATGCCTCGACCAACATTTTCCTAACGACGTTCACAACAGCTTGGGCTCGTCTCAAGCTGTATAGTGAAATGGAAAAATTGGGTCGAGATGTCCTGTATCACGACACAGACTCCATAATATATGCCTCGAATGGAAGAAATGATCCCCCGTTAGGAAATTTTCTTGGAGAGTTTACGGATGAACTGGAGGGTGATGTCATCAAAACCTTTCGTCTCTGGTAAGGACCTTTAAAAAAGTTCTTTATTTAATATGTACCAAAAATGTTTAATGTTTTTTTCTATTATTCTTTTTTTTCTCATGATGTTTTATTTTTTCAGGAGGACCGAAAAACTACGCATACCAGACGGCCAGTGGGAAAACTTGTTGCAAAGTCCGAGGATTTTCCTTGAACTTTCGCAATTCTCAGTTGCTGAATTTTGAAGCCATTAAAAGTCTGGTCTGCAGCCTCGACCGAAGTGAGATCATCTCTCTCCACAACCCCTCCAAAATCACCCGAGAAGCGAAGAGAAGAAAGGTGGTGAATAAACCGGAAACAAAACTGTACAGAATTGTATTAGACAAACGGGTAATTCAAAAAGACTTGAGCACATTGCCGTATGGTCATTAGT